GATTTGCAACCTTTCACAGAGATAGACAGCTCAAACAAACTGAGAATAAAGGCATGCAGGTAATGTGACTTAAGCTATGTGAACCACATACACAGAAACACAGTCACATATCTTTCTTTTCTCTAAAAAACTTAAACAGAATTATTCCTCTATGAATCAGTAAAGCAGCCAGAAGACTTCCATATGGAAGCTGAAATGTTGCAATGCACTTCTGCTAAACAGTTGTTTGGTTTTACCTTCCCACGTTCACAATTGCACAGAAAAACAAAACAACTACATAGGACAATCAATATCCCTATGGGTCTAAACCCTCTTGTCCTGAGAAGTCGTGAACCTGGTATTTCTGTCTGTTTTCTTCCCAAAATGTCGCTTACACCACATTTCTGCTACGGCTTGCCCCTGTAAAGCTTAGTTAATGGCACTGAGTCCCACTTCCACCTACAAAGTGTTTTGGAGGGCTAGGTATGAATATATTTACTAAAAATAGCATGGGGGAAAAAAAAAAGGGGGGGGGGGGAGGAGTGGGTGAGGTCCTGTGAACAAAACAGCTTTTTCTCAAGCCATTTTGACATCATAATTTGCCCACAGTCCCAGGGTTGTTAATGCCCCAGGAAATGTATTCCATTTATTGCTGTACTCTACATTTACGGATTACCCTGTTAATACATCTCCACACAGGGGGCTGCGTGGACTCGAGGCATGGTTTCCGGCTCAAGTGCTGGAGATCCCAGGTTCAAGCCCCGGTGAAGGGTGGGCTTTTTTTCAAGTGGACTTCTAGTAATTCTAGATTTCACAGCACTGCTCAGATTCTTCAGACTCAGGCTCGAGTCAGGCATAGAATGGAGTACTTATGGGTTACTACCCTTGTGCCATGACGATGATCCGTCGTCTAAACCTAAAATTATATTTGCACACAATTAAAATAAAAATTACTGACCTGTGTCAAATGATTTTTTCTTCTTCGGAAGTCTATTGGGTTCCTGCCTTTTTTTTAAAGCCAGCATTTTTGGGGCACTAGGATTAACAATGAGAGAACTAAATCTGTCGAGGATGTATCATCGTGTGTCTTTATTTACTGTGTTGTGGATACATCATGGTGTGTCTATATTTACTGTGTTGTGGATACATCATGGTGTGTCTATATTTACTGTGTTGTGGATGCATCATGGTGTGTCTATATTTACTGTGTTGTGGATACATCATTTACTTGTGTTGTGGATACATCATGGTGTGTCTATATTTACTGTGTTGTGGATACATCATGGTGTGTCTATATTTACTGTGTTGTGGATACATCATGGTGTGTCTATATTTACTGTGTTGTGGATACATCATGGTGTGTCTATATTTACTGTGTTGAAGATACATCATGGTGTGTCTATATTTACTGTGTTGTGGATACATCATGGTGTGTCTATATTTACTGTGTTGAAGATACATCATGGTGTGTCTATATTTACTGTGTTGTGGATACATCATGGTGTGTCTATATTTACTGTGTTGTGGATACATCATGGTGTGTCTATATTTACTGTGTTGTGGATACATCATGGTGTGTGTCTATATTTTTACTGTGTTGTGGATACATCATGGTGTGTCTATATTTACTGTGTTGTGGATACATCATGGTGTGTCTATATTTACTGTGTTGTGGATACATCATGGTGTGTCTATATTTACTGTGTTGTGGATACATCATGGTGTGTCTATATTTACTGTGTTGTGGATGCATCATGGTGTGTCTATATTTACTGTGTTGTGGATGCATCATGGTGTGTCTATATTTACTGTGTTGAAGATACATCATGGTGTGTCTATATTTACTGTGTTGTGGATACATCATGGTGTGTCTATATTTACTGTGTTGTGGATACATCATTGTGTGTCTATATTACTGTGTTTGTGGATACATCATGGTGTGTCTATATTTCTACTGTGTTGTGTGATACATCATGGTGTGTCTATATTTACTGTGTTGTGGAATACATCATGGTGTGTCTATATTTACTGTGTTGTGGATACATCATGGTGTGTCTATATTTACTGTGTTGTGGATACATCATGGTGTTGTCTATATTTACTGTGTTGTGGATCATCATGGTGTGTCTATATTTACTGTGTTGTGGATACATCATGGTGTGTCTATATTTACTGTGTTTGTGGATACATCATGGTGTGTCTATATTTATACTGTGTTGTGGATGCATCATGGTGTGTCTATATTTACTGTGTTGTGGATACATCATGGTGTGTCCTATTTTTTACTGTGTACGTGTGGTCCCCTATACATCATCATGGTGTGTCTATATTTACTGTGTTGTGGATACATCATGGTGTGTCTATATTTACTGTTTTGTGGATACATCATGGTGTGTCTATATTTACTGTGTTGTGATACACTCATGTGCATCATGGTGTGTCTATGTTTATGGTGTGTTGAAGATACATCATGGTGTGTGTCATATATTTACTGTGTTGTGGATACATCATGGTGTGTCTATATTTTACTGTGTTTGTGGATACATCATGGTGTGTCTATATTTACTGTGTTGTGGATACATCATGGTGTGTCTATATTTACTGTGTTGTGGATACATCATGGTGTGTGTCTATATTTACTGTGTTGTGGATACATCATGGTGTGTGTCTATATTTACTGTGTTGTGGATACATCATGGTGTGTCTATATTTACTGTGTTGTGGATGCATCATGGTGTGTCTATATTTACTGTGTTGAAGATACATCATGGTGTGTCTATATTTACTGTGTTGTGGATACATCATGGTGTGTCTATATTTACTGTGTTGAAGATACATCATGGTGTGTCTATATTTACTGTGTTGAAGATACATCATGGTGTGTCTATATTTACTGTGTTGTGGATACATCATGGTGTGTCTATATTTACTGTGTTGTGGATACATCATGGTGTGTCTATATTTACTGTGTTGTGGATACATCATGGTGTGTCTATATTTACTGTGTTGTGGATGCATCATGGTGTGTCTATATTTACTGTGTTGTGGATGCATCATGGTGTGTCTATATTTACTGTGTTGAAGATACATCATGGTGTGTCTATATTTACTGTGTTGTGGATACATCATGGTGTGTCTATATTTACTGTGTTGTGGATACATCATGGTGTGTCTATATTTACTGTGTTGTGGATACATCATGGTGTGTCTATATTTACTGTGTTGAAGATACATCATGGTGTGTCTATATTTACTGTGTTGTGGATGCATCATGGTGTGTCTATATTTACTGTGTTGAAGATACATCATGGTGTGTCTATATTTACTGTGTTGTGGATACATCATGGTGTGTCTATATTTACTGTGTTGAAGATACATCATGGTGTGTCTATATTTACTGTGTTGTGGATACATCATGGTGTGTCTATATTTACTGTGTTGTGAATACATCATGGTGTGTCTATATTTACTGTGTTGAAGATACATCATGGTGTGTCTATATTTACTGTTTTGAAGATACATCATGGTGTGTCTATATTTACTGTGTTGTGGATACATCATGGTGTGTCTATATTTACTGTGTTGAAGATACATCATGGTGTGTCTATATTTACTGTGTTGAAGATACATCATGGTGTGTCTATATTTACTGTGTTGAAGATACATCATGGTGTGTCTATATTTACTGTGTTGTGGATACATCATAGTGTGTCTATATTTACTGTGTTGTGGATACATCATGGTGTGTCTATATTTACTGTGTTGTGGATACATCATAGTGTGTCTATATTTACTGTGTTGTGGATACATCATGGTGTGTCTATATTTACTGTGTTGTGGATACATCATGGTGTGTCTATATTTACTGTGTTGAAGATACATCATGGTGTGTCTATATTTACTGTGTTGAAGATACATCATGGTGTGTCTATATTTACTGTGTTGAAGATACATCATGGTGTGTCTATATTTACTGTGTTGAAGATACATCATGGTGTGTCTATATTTACTGTGTTGAAGATACATCATGGTGTGTCTATATTTACTGTGTTGTGGATACATCATGGTGTGTCTATATTTACTGTGTTGAGATCCAATTACATCCTAGTATGTGTTTCAGGAGATGTCCTCTTTTTCTGCATTCACTCTTGAAAGGGCCTTTGGCATATTATGTTGCAGTTTATGTGACATTTGTACTTTTTGGCTAAACATATCAAATTTCACCAAACTTAATAAGTCCTCATTTACGCCATACCTGTGGGACCATTCTGTTTAACTCTAAAATGGGTTTGGAAACCCAGCATAGATGGGAAACCTAGCATAGATGGGAAACCCAGCAGATTTCAAATTCCAGCGGTCTTACCCCTCACTGTTAACTGAGCTAGGAGAGAGAAAGGGAGAGTTCTGCAACACAGACACTGTGGAGATGAGATAAAAGTATCAGTTTAGGAAATCTTTTAGTGAGTTTATCAGCCAAGACAGACAAAAGTGAAGCAAACCAAAAATATAAATGCTACTTTCTGTTCCAGCATGGACTGCCAAAATGCAACAGAAAATCAATTTCATCTCAAAAACAAAATAATGAGGGAGTTACAGCAAAACAATAATCTGAAATAAACTGGAAATAGCAAAGAATACAAATTTAAAAAACGCACAAAATTAACAACTTGCAAATGATTCCAAAAGAAACAACTGCATGCTTTGTACAAATGACATCATCACCAAGTCCATCTAGAATATGTTTACTTATTCCTTTGACAGTTGATAATTTATCAGTCCGACCCAAAATCTGTCATGACACAACTGACCCATACAGACTTAAATATAATAAAAGAAAGTTGAAAGAATTATTCCTCTATGATATTTAAAATACCATGAATCACTAGCTATTGTTTTTTTTTTTTTAAGTTAATTTTTTTAACCAAAAGTGATTTTTTACTAAATGATGATGTCATCTGATGCCATTGTGCCACTGAAATAATTGCAAAAATCAATTACATGGTCGGCACAAAACACTGACACTACAAGGTATCGAAGTCAGTGCTGGCGGCTCGCTGCTGTCTCCGGAAGCCTGTGGGCCAGAAGATGGCTACCGGGGCTGAATGATGATGCTGACCTGCTGGGAGAGTGGTATGGCAGCAATGAAACATGGCAGATCAAGACTTCTCTTGAGATTAATATGTCCCATTTCATACACATCTAGGACTTGGTTTGAGAAAGGAACATACACTTATAGTTATATCTGTAGACTGTCTTTCTTGGGATGTCCCATTTTATACAAATCTAGGACTTGGTTTGAGAAAAGAACATTCACTTATAGTTATATCTGTAGACTGTCTTTCTTGGGATGTCCCATTTTCATCTAAAAATATTACTAGGGTGTCCCACTTTTAGCTCAAGATACTATGGTCACTGTAACCATGAATGCTACTGCAGAAGGTTTAACATGACAGGATGTGGTATGCATGGGCACAACAATGAGAATCACACCTAGTAAGTAGGTCACTTTGTAAAACCCCTTTTTATGGCAGTGGCACATGGGCATATAATGCTAGAAATATCTATTATAATCAAATTAGCACATGACGGGTGATGTGGTGAACATCGTTTTTGCCGCCTTGACTTCCCAGGATGTTACTTGGTATCCATTTTAAGCTGGGTACAACCTGGATGCTGAGGTCAATTCTTCTTAAAAATTTACCTCAATACAGATTTAAACCGAAAGCTTTTAGTCTGGTATGCAGGCGTCGAGCCATTACCTGACTGTGTCTCCCAAAAGTAGGCTTGGAAAATACAAACTATAAGTAATGCTACCAGTCAACTGAATGGATGTGCGTGTACTGAGCTACAGTCGACACCGGGGAACACGGTGATAAGATACTCACCTGTGACTGAAATAATGGATAGAGGACCCAACCTTCTCAGGGCAGGTGGTCTAATGAGCACAATCATTTTCTTCTGCTGCCCTCTATTTCCCAATGAAGCATGGGCCCTCAACTAACTCATGTTGGGCAGTTTTATGTATTCCTATCATCTGCAGCTCATTCTATCAACAAGTCCATAGCTTTGTAATTCCCTTAAAAAACCCCCGTGTGTGGGTTCCTGGGGCCCTATTATAGGGAAAACAAGAATAGACCCACTGCCTCCTAAAAGCATGTCGTAAAAGTCGACCAATTGGGAGCTTTCTTCGAAGTCGGAGTGCATCTGCCTGAGAGGCAAGGAACCAGCAGTCTGCATACAAATAAGTCAGATCTGTAAAACGGATACACACGCAACACTCAGGTTCTGGATCAGGACTACAGTCCAGAAGTGGATGAACAACCAAAACTTTCTGCCAGAGTTTACAGCTAGTGAAGAAAAAGAAGATGATTTTAAACCCCTTCTCAAGTTTGATTGGTCTGTCTTTATTCCTGTGGATTCCAGTAAAAAGACATTCTGGTTAAATTGTTATCAGGTATTTCTCAATCTGTGTCCTATCCAGTGGCTGCATCTTTTTCTCGCCTTTTGATTCACTGGATAATAATCTTTTAGCAGTTGAACGTTTTAACAGGCAGTTTAAACAAAAAAAAAAGCATTTGTTGAAGGACAGTACTTGAGAATCATGAAACTGTGAAATGCATTCACATATCTCTAAGCTCCAGAGCTGCACCAGAGAACTTACCGTGAAAAGAATATCTACCCAGACGCTGGAACCCCCACAAATGACAGGCAGTTCATTTATCCACATTGACTTACAGTGCTGTAAGAGTACATGAAACTGCTCATAATATCTTTCGTTTTTTTCCCTCCACTCAGCCTTAAATTGGCAGTAGGCACATCCCTGTGTTGTAGTTTACAGGCTGGCTCTGATATCTGTATCTTTTGACCCCAACACATAAGACCTAATCAGCAAATCACATCACTGTTATGATGTTTGTTGGGGCAGCGGGTCTTTCCCCTACATGGGACTCCAGAACCCACATCATGGGGCTGGTCATACTATTTCACAACTGAACTGCACACAATGTCTGTTAAATGATTGATGTAACTGCTCACAATGTTAAAGTATTTAAAACATTTCAGAGAATGTTAAAAGAAAATGTTAATCGTGGAACATTACAAAAGAGAACACATACAATTGTTAACATTTAATGCACTGCCAAGAAACACAGGAAAAAACACTGGTATAAAGTCTGTCAAGAGTTAACTGTACATTTGAACATTCATTTTTCTGTTAATTTGTACGTCTCGACACGGATTAGTTACTGAAACGCCTTACATCAGTAATATATTACACCGGTTAGTTACTGAAATACTGATACTCTGAAAGTCTTACAACAGTGATGCTTCACAAGTCAAGTCTAACAAACTTGATGTGAACAACAGTAACAAGTACACAGAAGAATAAACAGAACTATCATTAAAATAAACAGCAAACAGGACATACCAGCTAGTACTAAAACAGCCATTTAACTGTGCGGATCAGAATGCAGAATTAAAATAAACTGTCACATTATGGATACTGGCAGTAAAACGTCAATAATAAATTGTCTCCCTTGAGAAAACATGGCTGGCAGAACTTAAGTGGCAGTTGTGAATTTAACCAAGCTGTAATATTTATGGATTCATTATAAAGGCAAGAATTCAAAAATAACAAAACATTTTTTTTTTAAACATAATCATGTAACGCACGCACGCACGCATGCATGCTCGCGCATGCACGCGCGTGCATACACACACTCTCTCTCTCTATAATCTTCTAAGCCATGTTTCACACATTACATAATCATAAAATAATACAGATAATTGATGAATTATACATAAGAAACCCAACTTCCAAGCAGTATGAAACAGTACAGATCTATTGCTAACTGCATGTTCTTTACCAAACCACTCAACGGTTTATGTGGTCAGTCCATATATGTAACTTTATCTTCCCCCCCAAAAAAAACCTTGTATTTATATACATCATCATTAAAATATCATATAAATTAAAATAACGTGCATAATAGAACATAAGTTGATTCAAACAATAATTATTACTACAATTAAAAAAATTTTCAGACAACTAGTTGGAAGCAATTGTGCCCCAAGTTGCTGTTGATGTGGCAATAATTTATGCTACCCCATGAGGTTAACCAGCTAAAAACTCTGGCAGAAGGTTCTGGTTGTTTGTCCACATCCAGACTTTCGATCTTATTTTATTCCAAAACTTGAGTTTTGTCTGCATATCAGTTTTACTGATTTGGCTTACCTGTATGCATAATGTTGGTTGCTCGCCTCTAAGGCAAATAGGGCCCTAGAATCCCCACTGGAAGCTAAAAGGTTACAAATGAGCATTTCACATACAACATCTCACATTATATTTAATCATTTGAGAGGCTCTTTAGTGTGTTGTGATGGGAGCACAATTTTGCAAACAGTCTGCTATATGATGATGATGTACAACGAGGAATGTCAGTAACCCAGTGGTTACTGCATTTGCTTATCAGTACAGTGCTCCTAGTTCAAGTCCAGTAATGGCAGGAAACTGTTTCTTTTTTCAGCCTCACAGACTGAGAACCAGAAAATTTTCTGAATTTTCTCAAAAGAGAAAATTTTGAGAAGGAAAGTGGTACCTCTAACTGTTATGTTACCACAACTGATGTCACTGCACACTGGGCATTCCCATGTGTGCTCAGTCCTCCAATGCAGCAGCCACTCCAAGGTACTTCTACTGGTTGTTCCCATGAGGAGCTAGTTATAAATGTCTCCTATCTCTGCTTCAAAGGCGGCATAGATATGCTTCACTACCAAATTATGTCATGACCTAGAATCTCTGATGATTTAACCTACTCGACATCTTTTTGAGGCCGTACATTTTGTCTGCTGATCTAGTACCCTATATTTATCTAGTTGTTGGTTTTGCATAATTAGTATTTATATTACGGATATCGTTAAATGCATGAAACTTCCTGTACGTGTTTCAGGAACCCATTTTTTTTAAGAAAAAAAAAAGAACAAACCCACTGCTACCTTAACAAGTAGGTCATAGGGGGGCACTGACTGGGGGTGTCATAGGGGGGCACTGACTGGGGGTGTCATAGGGGGGCACTGACTGGGGGTGTGACTGGGTCATAGGGGGGCACTGACTGGGGGTGTCATAGGGGGGCACTGACTGGGGGTGTCATAGGGGGGCACTGACTGGGGGGGCACTGTCATAGGGGGGCACTGACTGGGGGTGTCATAGGGGGGCACTGACTGGGGGTGTCATAGGGGGGGCACTGACTGGGGGTGTCATAGGGGGGGCACTGACTGGGGGTGTCATAGGGGGGCACTGACTGGGGGGTGTCATAGGGGGGCACTGAACTGGGGGTGTCATAGGGGGGCACTGACTGGGGGTGTCATAGGGGGGGTTGTCACTGACTGGGGGTGTGTCATAGGGGGGCACTGACTGGGGGGTGTCATAGGGGGGCACTGACTGGGGGTGTCATAGGGGGGCACTGACTGGGGGTGTCATAGGGGGGCACTGACTGGGGGTGTCATAGGGGGGCACTGACTGGGGGTGTCATAGGGGGGCACTGACTGGGGGTGTCATAGGGGGGCACTGACTGGGGGTTTGGTTGAACTGGATATGATTGATTGGCTGAAAGGTGCAGATACTGCAGTTTAAGCTGTCAACTACAACACAATGTGCCAATGGCCCTTTTTAAGGAAGAACACAGAAGAAGAAATAACTGAGCATGCATAGTACATGAAACAGAATTACTGTGTGAAAGATGAATGTCAGGAGGACCAAACATACGCCTTGTGACCGATCTGAAAATGATATTTGTTCCCTTTTTCAGCTTAACACAGGTAGCTGGAGAATTTGCCGGAGTAAAGGCAGTCAACGTGTTATTGTTTACATCAGCCATAAGGGTTGATCAGTGACAATTTAGGACTGGCATCAACACTCAAGAGAAAAGCGAGAAAAATATACCCACCCCACCCCCAAAAAAAAATTCAGTGACCTTTATATTTTTCTAAAAGAAGGCATTCTCTTCATCATTTCAGTTATTAAAAATATAGAAAGGTCACTGATTTTTCTGGGGCCAGGTATACAATCAGACTTACTGGTGCCACTGGAATTGGAACTTTGCGACTGCTGTTAAAGATGGGGACGGAGCGCTTATGAGAATGTCCTGAGTGCTATGATGTTGACTGTTCATTCAACATTAAATTTAAATTACTATTGGTAAAGAATCTGGAAGGGAATGGACACGGGGTGTTGTGTCATCAGCATGCTATGACAAAATCCTAAAGATCACAAAATATGGCTGACTAGGGGGTTCCTACCTCTCTGCCTGCTGGTGTTGGGGGACATCTGCGAGGGCTGTGGGTCTGCTGGCTGCAGGACCTCGTTCAAACTGGCATTGCTTGATTCTGACGATAATGTCATATCCACAACTGCAGATAGACATTTTGATGTCATCAAATTACAGGTGAGAAAGAATAGAGAGAAAAAAAGGTTTCAGAAAGAAAAATGCACAAACTTGAATATGCAGAAATGAAAGAAAGCTGGACAGACAAGGAATCATAAACAAACAAAAAGAGAGAGAAAAAGAGACAGACAAGAAAGGAAGCAAGCTAGCAAATAACGATACACACAAAAGGGATTTTTTCTTTGTCTTCTTAACATACTGTATACTCTGGTGGAAATTTATGGTTGTGGGTCTACTTTTGGACTTTGGTTTTGTTCCAGAACTTGAAATTTTGATTGCACAAGTGTTCCACAGATCTGGCTTATTTGTAAACAGGCTGCTGGTTCCTCTTCGCTCAAGCAGATACACTCCAACTTCGAAGACAGCAGCCTTCATTGGTAGCCTTTTATGACATGTTTGTTAGATGACAGGGGGTCTATTCCTTTTTTTTTTAAACCTTAAAAAGGGGCCTATAGCAAAACAGAGAAAAAAGGATTTGAACACATGACCAATGGGTTAACAAGCTAATCGCTTCCCTTCTCTTTTCACACAGGCTGTGGTAAAAGGTGAGATGGCAACTTCCCTAGGTTATCAACCCCTTTTTGATGGGTATTTCCAGAAAATTCTAAAGACTATCTGGCAGCAGTTTAACAGCAAACATATAATGATCAAATTGTATACAAACTGGCAGCATTGACAGGCAGCATGGGAGCAAAGACGTTCTCGGCAAACTCCTCAAACATGGTGTGTTCTGTGTGCTGCTGGATTGTACTCTCTAAGCACTTGGCTCTCTCTTCATAGCTGACAAACATTGGTCAAGAAATCATTGTCACAACTGTTCACACAACATAGCTGACAAACACTGGTCAAGAAATCATTGTCACAACTGTTCACACAACATAGCTGACAAACACTGGTCAAGAAATCATTGTCACAACTGTTCACACAACACAGATATCAACACTGGTCAAGAAATCATTGTCACAACTGTTCACACAACATAGATATCAACACTGGTCAAGAAATCATTGTCACAACTGTTCACACAACATAGCTGACAAACACTGGTCAAGAAATCATTGTCACAACTGTTCACACAACACAGATATCAACACTGGTCAAGAAATCATTGTCACAACTGTTCACACAACATAGATATCAACACTGGTCAAGAAATCATTGTCACAAACTGTTCACACAAACATAGCTGACAAACATTGGTCAAGAAATCATTGTCACAAAACATCAACTGTTCACACAACATAGCTGACAAACATTGGTCAAGAAATCATTGTCACAACTGTTCACACAACACAGATATCAACACTGGTCAAGAAATCATTGTCACAACTGTTCACACAACACAGATATCAACACTGGTCAAGAAATCATTGTCACAACTGTTCACACAACATAGATATCAACACTGGTCAAGAAATCATTGTCACAACTGTTCACACAACATAGATATCAACACTGGTCAAGAAATCATTGTCACAAAACTGTTCACACAACATAGCTGACAAACATTGGTCAAGAAATCATTGTCACAACTGTTCACACAACATAGCTGACAAACATTGGTCAAGAAATCATTGTCACAACTGTTCACACAACACAGATATCAACACTGGTCAAGAAATCATTGTCACAACTGTTCACACAACACAGATATCAACACTGGTCAAGAAATCATTGTCACAACTGTTCACACAACATAGATATCAACACTGGTCAAGAAATCATTGTCACAACTGTTCACACAACATAGATATCAACACTGGTCAAGAAATCATTGTCACAACTGTTCACACAACATAGCTGACAAACATTGGTCAAGAAATCATTGTCACAACTGTTCACACAACATAGCTGACAAACATTGGTCAAGAAATCATTGTCACAACTGTTCACACAACACAGATATCAACACTGGTCAAGAAATCATTGTCACAACTGTTCACACAACACAGATATCAACACTGGTCAAGAAATCATTGTCACAACTGTTCACACAACATAGCTGACAAACATTGGTCAAGAAATCATTGTCACAACTGTTCACACAACATAGCTGACAAACATTGGTCAAGAAATCATTGTCACAACTGTTCACACAACACAGTTATCAACACTGGTCAAGAAATCATTGTCACAACTGTTCACACAACACAGATATCAACACTGGTCAAGAAATCATTGTCACAACTGTTCACACAACATAGATATATAACATAGATATCAACATAGATATCAACTGACTATCTTTATTGTCTTTTTATCTTTTCTCTAGTTTTTGCACTCCAGTTTTGCAGTCTGCATGATTACCATCCCAAAGTTGAGAATCAAACAGGCAAAAATTCTGGAAACCATTTAAAAATCTACCCCAAGTATTTCAGGATCCTCGCCGGTGCAACAGAGTTCGTGCACTGCTCTGAGAATCTTCAGAGTCAGACTTGAGTTGGAAGTAGAACGGAGCACTTATGGGTTACACCCGTGTGCCATGTTGTTGATTTGTTGAAAACAGATAAACATAAACATCACAAGCTCATAATGTATAACACCTACATCAAATAATAGTGTCAAGGATACAAGGTATGATAGAATGGCATGAGAGATCGCTTCAGTCGGCTGGCATTTATAGCAGTGGCCCGCACAAGTCCTGACAAGACATAGTGATCAACGATGGCTCCGTCAAACAGGGGACCAAAGAAAGGCACCTGTATGATGGAGAAAACAGATCAGATCATTCTCTTAAAAGCTAACAATCTTGCTGTAATGCAATGTGGCATATGAAGGATGTGGCGTTATGGCTATGCCAATATTTTTAGACCAGTCAACACCCCACGAGGGATGTGGTCAATAACAGGTCAGAGGCCTATTATCCTGTCACCCTCAGAAGTCACAAAACCGACCCTCCTGGTTGTCTAACACCCCCTTAAATGTCCCTTAAACCCGCTTTCCTACAGTGGCATTTTTCCCAAGACACCTCACTAGCATCACTAGTTGTGTTTGTGCCTGCACAGCTGTTAGGTCCGGTTATGACAATATCTACATGAAATAGCACAGAGCCAGGGGCATTTTCTCGTGAATGAGCTATTTCAAAGCCAGTCTGACATGACAGTTTCCACATAAGTGTTGGTGTCAGAACTCCATGGGAGTCACCTGGTCTTGGTATTAGTCACAGAACAGATTTACTTTTTTAGGCCCGGGTGACTGAAACCCAGTTCATTCTGCATTCTCTTCATGTTTATTGATTACTCTATTCATCCCTCACCCAATATATATACACATATATTTATATATACATACACACACACACACACAATATATACATATATATATACACACATATATATATATATATATATATATATATATATATATATATACACACACACACACACACACACACACACACACACACACACACACACACACACACACACACACACACACACATATATATATACACACACACATACACATATATATATATATAAACACACACACATATATATATATACATACACACACACACACATATATATACACACACACACACACACAATTTTTTTTATTAGTATCCCTTGTATGGGTGTTTTTGGGATTTTTAATTGAAAGGCTCCCCTTTTTTTTTTTCTTGTAACATTTCTGGGATAAAAGTGTTAACTTCTGGGGGAAAAAAAGAAAAAAGAAATTCTGATATTAGCTTTTTTTTTTAAACACTGTTAAACACAGAATGCTGAAATCATCAGGTACCCGTGGCGCGGTGATTTATGTCACAGGCGTGAGGGGAAGTTAAGTCCAACATGATGTGTATAAGGAGATACTCGTACGTCACTCGGGCGCCCAGTCCTTTACTATCCTGGTTGTACGGAACCTCACGCAAGACCCCCTACAGCACGTCCTCGGTCGTGCGCCACGGATAATGGTCTCAAATGAGCATTAACAGAGCTGTCAGGGGATCTCGGAGTGTGGCGGCCCCCAGAGGTGATGAGTCCTTGTGGCTCTCATCAGCCCGCCCCCAAACGCTTGGGTGAAAAATGTTATCAAAAAACTCATTAGGAACATGAGTAGGTTCGACAAAAGTACAGCTAAAATCACAACCCTTGGTTAAAAGACTGCTAAGTAAAGAGAACATTGCTCAATGCTCATCCTCGGTTAATTCTCAGTGGTCGTCGTCACCGCGCTGAGGTGCACCACAACAGAAACCATACATGGGCTGGCCATCCTTGTGCAATCCCTCGGTTGGCCCTCAGTGTCGTTGTCACCGCGCTGAGGTGCACCACAACAGCAACCATCCATAGGCTGGCCAGTCACGTACATCCTCGGTTAACCCTCAGTGTGGGTCGTCACCCGCTGTGGTACACCACAACAGCAACCACATCCATCGGATGGCTAAGCCTAAATGTCCGGACAAAACTAGATCATACGGATCAAAATCTGACCATCAAAATTTGCACTGAAATTGCAAAAAGGCCGAATGTCCACACCCAAAGGTACCCCACTCGCCCGAGTGTTGGGACAAAACTGATAACGATATGCCTGATTCAGGATGTGAAATTCTGCCGGGCAAATGTACCTATCTGTGTGGTCACAAAAAGTCCAAAACCAACGGCTGCTCCCCGCTGACTTCCAGAGGGCGCAGCCCCTGTCGAGCGGAGGCCTGATACGGTTGTGAGGTTAAGCAGGCATGGCAGGACGTGACGATTCCTTGGGTGAGCCCAGAACCAGAAAAGCGCCATGTGCCGGCTCTGCATGCATGGAAGCCTCCTTGGATGGCGGGGAATGCCCATGATCTGCCCCTGCCTTCCCTTGAGGGCCAACTGTTTCCACAGGGGGTTTGCCCCCAAAGGGGTTACTCCGGGGGCAATACCTGCGGCGAAAGGAGACAAGGCGGACACCACACAAATCAGACAGTCTCGACCCACACAAAAACAATGGCCACAGTCACCCCTAGAAATAGGCCTGACGTCTTCCTTCGAAGTCGGCGTACAGCTGCCCAAGAGGCAGGGAAATAAAAAACGGTTGTACACGCAAAAATCAGGTCCAGGTGAAGGCCAAAAGTCCAAGCGGACGATTAACCGGGACCTTCCACTGGAATTCACAGCCGGTGTTCGATGAGAAAAAAAAAAAAAAAAAAAAAAAAAAAAAATCAGGTACCCTGCCAAAAAGCATAAGCCTTTAGGTCTCTACAAATATCAACCCTTGTTCAAAAACCTAAACAAAATTTAACAGTCTTGGTTTGGTTACAACATGAGGCATAGAGGTTTAGTGCATAACTTCTAAGGGTTGCATTCTATCGCAAAATAAAGAAACACAAGGAGTTTCAGAAACATCATGATACAAACACACAGGTTTACTAACTAGCACACTTTTTTTTTTCAACACAAGCTTTTGATTTTTCAGTCCCTTAGAATTTATGTTATACAAGGAACCTGGACAATTTATTTTCTGTTCATGAAAAAAAGCAAGCGTGAAAACAATCATTACCTCAGGTTTCCTGTCAATCTGAATCCTGTAGAGACCAGCAGACAAAGGGTAGATAACAATGATGATGTCTCCAAATTTGTGGGTGGGAAATTTTCCCCTTCTGTAATCTCTGCCTGTGTTTCAGGGACCAGACAATGTGCACTTCATCATTGCCCAGATGTCGCATCTGTCAGAGAATTCCCAGTAATGTGCAGAGATTCAGTCAAGTGGAATATGAGCACAACAGCAAGCATAAACAGAAACTGCCCCCCCCCCCCCCCCCCCCCCCCCCTCCCCCCCCCCCCCCACAAGCTGCTATTACTACCTGAATCGACTTCTGCTGTGTAGGCAGGTGGTCTTTGAACCTGGGAATTTAGAGACATGTGGCTAGTGCTGTCACCATTAACTGTTACAGTTAAGGATTTTATTTTTGTTTGCCACCCCGACAGAAAAAAAAAATCAAAAATCTTACCAAAAATGTGAAACTATGTCTCCCACTTGAGGGCCCAGCATTCGACCATTCAGCCAGACGCTTCTCGTTTACAAAAAGAAAAGAATTAACAGAAAATTTTGTTGCAACATATTTTTCTATCCATTATCACCTACATGTGTCTTGTCAGCATTCATGTTGATGTTTCTCCACAGATCCGTGTATATGATCCTTTACATGAATTCTACTGATCCCCTGTGTGGGTTCCGGGGCCCCATTGTGGTGAAAACAAGAATAGACCCACTGCCTCCCCAAAAGCATGTCGTAAGAGTCGACTAATTGGGAAGCTTCCTTTGAAGTCGGAGTGCATCTGCCGGAGAGGCAAGGAACCAACAGTCTGTATTCAAGAGAATGCGATCTGTAAAACTGATGCACACACAACACTCAGGTTCTGGAGCAGGACTGCAGTTCAGTAGTGGACGAGCAACCAGAACTTTCCGCCAGTGTACAGCTTGTGAACGCGAAGAAGAAGAAGAAGAAGAAGAAGTCTATTGACGATACTCTTCCACACTAGCAAGACCCTCTAGCATCATATACTTTCCCTATGTGGTGTCTGGTACACTCCTGTTGACCCTTGCATTATGGACCCCGTGGGGGAAAAAAGAGTTTGTTTGTTTGTTTGTTTGTTTGTTTGATCTCTCTGCCTTTGCAACTTCTCCCAGTGTTCTTTAACAGCACTCTTCTCATTGATCAATAAAAACCGTTGGCTTCCTTTATTTGTGCATGCTCTTTCTTGTCTCAAGACCCTATTTACACCAGTACCAGGCATTTGACGCCAGAATCACATTTTCACAAACCAATCGGCCTTCGATGGGTGATGTGGTCAACATATCTCACCAGCTGCCTTTACTTCCCTGGACTTTACCTAGTACCCATTTTAGGCTTGGTCGGCCTAGGAGCTAAAGTCATTACTGACAAAAATCTCACTGTGGCTTCAAATTTTCATTTCTGATAATTATTTTAGGTCGGATAAACCTGGTAGCTAAAGTAGCTTTAAAAAAACAAAAAGAATTCCTACTGAGATAGGGATTTAAACACATCCCCACTGTGCTGACTAGCAAATGTGCTAGCACTGAGCTACTACTGGTCCCACTTGCTTCAGTGTACATTGTATTTTTCAAGCTGTTTATTAAGCCAAGTTATATGAGTCTTAGTTAGTTAGTTATTCCTCTTGTGCCAAAGATGGCGCATAGGGCAGAGGTCATAGCTTTCCACGTCCTGTAGTTCGTTGCCACTTGATGTAGGTCGTTGAGTCGGAGACTGAGACCTATGGTTTGAGCCTCTCCCTTGTGATGGTTTCTACGGAGTCGTTTCTTTTGGGTCTTCCCTGTTTTCTTTTACCCTCTGGTGACATATGAAGGCTTGGTGGGGAAGTCTGTCTGTAAGGTCCCATTCTGAGTACGTGACCGATGTAAATTCCAGCGACGCATTTCTAATAAAATCAGACATCCATTTTTTGTTTTGTTTCCTGTCTTATAGATGTATGGGACCTAAGTCGGACCAGTGAACATTCAATAGCTTTCGGAGGCATCTATTCTCGAAAAGCGACTAGTTTCTTATCGATTGATACTGATGATTTCCAACTCTCACAACCATAATTAGCACTGGGATCAACACGGAATTGAAGACCTTAAGTTTCGTGTTTGTTGCTGAGTGATCTTGACTTCCAAATGTTTGAACAGTTTGTTAAAGGCACTTGATGACTAACCGCGAATCGAGTCGTTATTTCTGATGTTGTATCTCCCGCAGAGGTTATCTTGCTCCCTAATATGAGTCTAGAGTAGCACTATTCTTGTTTGAAACACCCAGTACTTTCTGTTCCAGGTGATGTAAATAAAAGAGAGCAGACAAACAAACAAAAACCCAGAGAGAACAACCTTGATGTGCCAGTCACTGCCTACGCTTGGTATCCGTGTCGAGACATGAAAGATCACCTCACAGGTAGAGCTGGCCCAGTAGGGAGCAGTGTTGCCTGTGGTTCGGTTCTGCTGAAGTCCACCCATGAATCCTTGATGGGTTTCCAGATCCACCTAGAACAGATAATACAAATATAATATGACATCCAGGAATGACAAGTCCACCCATAAATCCTTGATGGGTTTCCAGATCCACATAGAACAGACAATACAAACATAATATGACATCCACGAATGACAAGTTAGAAAGTATGGGAGGGGATGCTGCGGGTGAGTGGGTGGTTATATGTAGTGTGAGTGTGAATGCATATGGAAACTACTGGTGTGTTGCTATTCTAGGTCTTATTTTTCATTTACATCTACATACACTTAATGTACATACACTTTATGTACATACACTTTATATGATGTATGCCTAAATTAATACAAACTCAGAAAACAATCAAATCGGTCTCCAGTGGATCCCGGCTCAATGCGGCATACCAGGAAATGAACAAAAAATGGAACAAAGTAAAACAATAAAATCATTTGTTGTCATTTTCAGAAATAAAAACACTTATCAAAGAAAAATATATCGAGAGAACAAACTAGCAGTATTCATCCACAAGATCTCATCAGCAGACTCAAAAGAAAGCAACATACAACAATTTTCCATCTATGAACTGGACACTGCAGGCTTAACTAAAACATGCATGAAATATAGACTGTACAGTCCCCACAGTGTGTCTGTCAAACAGGACCACAAGTGGACATTCAGTTGCACTGCCATACCGTCTAAAATGCAATCAACAGATATACTTCACAAAGAGATCATCTAAAGTTTTCCTTGAGAGAGCTCACACCATCACTTGCCATAATGTGTTTGTTCCCTTAAAGATGGCATCAAGGAAGGGGAATGGAGCACAGATGGGAAGGTCTCGAGTGCAGTGATGTCAATTCTTGATTCATTCATTCATTCAGTCCACTGTGTGAAGATAATCATCATTAATTGCAAATATTAAATCAATCACATCACTTGAACAAAACATGAACAGAGGAGGACACCATAACTAACCAGTTGGCCATATTAAACTTCTGAATACCTCTTGGACATTACATAGGTTAACACAGAGATTCCAGAAGGAAGATGTCATATGGCATCAACTGATGACATGACTTTGGTGTTTGTTACTGACTTTAAATAATATCTTACATCAAAAGAGTGGAGTCCACATTCTTTGGGTATGCCAAGAGAAGGGAAACAACTGGAGTGACAACAGAAAGGTAGGAATGGAAAACAAGCAGAAAGAGGCCAAGAGAAAATTTAGGTTAGACTGTGGTACAGAAGAACATCTGTGTCAGAAAACGTACTCTTACCTCCCAACCAAGGCCAGCAACAAAGTCCTCAAAAGCCCGACTGGCAGAGTTGTTGCTCAATATAGAATTCTTGTCCTCCTGGCCAGCAGCGATGTATATCACAGCAATCTTGTGTGTCTCTCGACTGCAGATGGACAACTATGCATCACTGTCACCATCATATATGTAGAATATATTTCTAAGCTTATCACAAGATAAAATAGTAACGATTTGTAATGCATTTCTCTTAACTTGGACATGCAATGACAGGTAAAAGAAGAACTGAAATAGAAATCAAAAGAGAAATTGATATAATCCAAAATATATTTCAATAGCATGAAGAAAAAAATGTTAACATACAGAGAAATAATCAGCATAACAGAGTATTATATTTGTCAAATATTATCTGACACCTCTTCATGGAGTAGAAATGAACAATCAAAAAGAACATTAAATTAAGGCTCAGATCTGTAGATGGCGAAACATGAAAGAACAGGGAACAGATTGCATTTTTTTAGTGTTGAGGGGGGGGGGGGGGGAGATAAAGAGGGGCAGAGGCAGGTTTAAAAAAATGAAAGAGACGGGAAATTATTTTAGCCACAAATAGAAGTAAAAACTCTGAGGCATGATGGGGAAGACTGCAACTCTATCTGAATAAAACCTGCCAACTTCTGGCCTAAACTTTCAAACATTTGGTTGTAAACTTTTTTTTTTTTTTTAAGTAAACAACCTCCCATTAGCCATTTCTTGGAAACTGACACCAGCCTTAAATTGTCAGGTAGTAAGTTATGTCTCTCTTTTTTGATAGTTTTTGGTGCACTGTTCGGAGTAGGCAGTGCACGTGTGCTTCATCTGGACAAGTAGAACTGGTATGTCTATTGATAGTTTTTGGTGCACTGTTCAGAGTAGGCAGTGCATGTGTGCTTCATCTGGACAAGTAGAACTGGTATGTCTGTTGATAGTTTTTGGTGCACTGTTCAGAGTAGGCAGTGCACATGTGCTATATCTGGACAAGTAGAACTGGTATGGGTGAGGGTACAACACCATTTACCTGACATCTGGAGTCAGTGAAGCACTGGGAAGTGCAAAGACTGTGCTCACTCTTTCAACCAGCTGATAGTATTGCTCTACTGTCACCCAGAACTGGGGTGACGCAAGAGCCCAACTTCACTGTTCCATTGAGCAATGAGTTGGAAGAACTATGTCCGTGAGTTTAAAACTTTGTTAACCATATTTCCTTCAATATTCACAGCTAGTATCACCCTGCAATATGTACTGTGCCGTATTATACCTACAAGCTGATGAACTAATGCTTCAGGACCCATCTTCTAACTGTGGTGTCTTACAAAGACAGCCTCTTGTGAGGTATATCAGCGTGGAGAACACTGGTTTGTGCTTTGCAGTATATTGTGGTTAAGGAGGACATACAGTTGTACTGTCATACAGTGTGAAATGCAATCCGTCAGCAAAGAGACTGGATGAGCTCACCATTTCTGAGCATCCAAGTTCTTCAGCTCTCTCAGAACTTTATCACTCTTCTTCAGGAGATCAAAATGACACCTGCAAGAGACCAACAATTGACAGGTCATTGAGATAACACACAAACATCAAGTTTAAAATGATAAAATTAAAGTTCTAAGGATGGACCTCATTGCACCGGATTTGATCTCAGATGGCTCGGTCTCTCTCCGCAGCATATCTAGTTGCCTGCCGACAGTGCCGCACACAGCAAGAACTCTCCAAGGCCAGCCACGATCCCAGGGGATCTCCATAAAAACTGCGCTCATAAATGAAATGACACACCCATGAAACAAACCCACTACCTTTCAAAGTGGAAGGCAAATGGTTTGACATATGAGTTTGAAAATAAAAACACCAGATGTATAGACAACATGAGGAAACAACTTCGGCAAACATTCACAACTCACACACATCATGTGTTGACAATGTCAGCAGACTTCTGTGAACATTAATTAGTAAACACATCCAGCAAACAATTAAATTAAATTAGTTCAGTTTAAAAAAAACAATTGCAGCCAGCAACATCAGTAAATATGAGAAAACAAAAGCAGTAAAGAACTTCAGTAAACAATACTCTGGGTGAGAAATTAACACTAGTACTAAACATACAATTTTTTATTATGTCACATCAGTACCGCTTTTTGGAGCCAAAACATGGAGAACAATTAAAACAATTGTGAATAAATTATAAAAATTCTTTAATGCTTGAGCCGAACAGGGGGAATTAAAAGGCATGACAGAATCATTGATGTTGAGCTTTGGGGGGAAAACAAAACAAGTTCCAGTGAACCAAGAGGTGAAGAAAAGACGCTGGCACCAGACGGGACATGCACTGAGAAAACCTGAGAACAATATGACTAGAATGTCTTTGCATTAGAACCCATAGGAACACAGAAATAAAAGCAGACCCCACCTTAAAAAAATAAAAAACATGAATAAGTATAGAATAACTTGGCATGAGTTTGTTCAGGATCTATCCTTCAATGGGGGATAGAAAGCAGAAGAAGAAAAAGATGAATTTAGTGAATAAAAGCAGCAAAGATTACATAACAAAGACTTAGTAAGAGCAAAAATAAACCTGGGACATAATTCCCAAATGCCATTTTCCTGTTGCAAGTATCTGATGTATTTATGTGTATTTTTATAGTCAAAGTGTTGCTTAACGAACTCATGGTCAAACTGCACTCATTCTTGTAACTACTCTTGGTGTAATATTTGTCATTCTCTGTCAGAGACCTACTTTACTAATTTACTTCCTATGGCTCGCTAGTAGGCCAGCTAACAGACTTCACTACCCTACGACACACTTAAGACATGCACCTGCTGAGTACAAACATAATCTTTAATGTACAACGACCAATACAACTAGTAACACCTCAACTAAGCTGGCAGTCCTTATCCTGAATGCTGGCGTTGAGCAGCTTTTACATTCACTGCTCAACCCGAGCCGTTCCCATGGATCCCCAAGGACACGATTCCAAACTAACAGTTTATCTGTGCTGACTAAGCTGCCGTCTATTGCCATGCGGGACTCAGTGACACATGAAAGGTGTATGGCCTAAGTGTGACTGGGCAGTGTTACCGCCATTAACAATGCGTGTCACACATTCACTAGCTGCTTAACAAATACTGCGTGGAACGTCTACTATACAAGGAACATTAACTCTACACTATCTCGTCGAAACATTAAACGGAAAAACAGCCTATCTTAAAAAATACTAACCACAAATACTATTCAATCTAGCCGTCACTAAACTAAGATACGTTTACCCGTTGTAGTCCTATGTCTGCTCCAGTCCAGTCTCTACAAAACAACTCTCGAAGTGAGCTCTCTCCAAGCCTTTTTGTTCCCCTCCTGCGTTCATCTCTCAACACGCGGTAATACGTGTTAACCGTGGGACCTGGGCTTCGCCAGTTAACTCGACCCAGTTTATTCCGTGGTCAAGCTGCCCGGTCTCACACTGAGTTTTACTGAGGGTCAGCTCGTTCATACGTGATGATTCACTATCATCAACTCCGTTCATCCCGTAGCCGAACTGGCCTCTGACATTCTCAGATTAATATTTGTCACTTCCGAACCATTTCTAGTGCAACAATTGTCATTTTACCCTATACTTTTCTTCTTCTTCTTTGTTCACCAGCTGTAAGCTCCGGCAGAAAGTCCTGGATATTCGTCCATTTGAGCTTTGGCTTTGTGCCAGGGCCTGAGTTTTGCGTGTGTATCCGTTTTACTGGCTTATTTGTGTGCAGCTCGTCGTTCCTTGCCCCTTGGGCAGATGCACTCTGACTTCCAAGAAAGTTCCCAATTCTATTCTAAATTGAACTCCTCTGAACTAAGTGATTAGTAAAGACTATCAACATTACATTCCTGACAGATCCATAGGTGGTCTGAAATCCTCCTCAAAAGCTCTACAAAAGTTTTTAAAAAAAAAAAAAAATGAGTGTTGACACCCTTTTGTGTTGATTAATCACATGTCTTGTGCCTTTGGGGAAATGTTTGTTTCCAGCTGTCCCAGGCTGCCCCACCATCATATTATAAGAACAAATGTCATGAAAGCAATAGTTTACCTTTTCTCCCATGACAACAGCCCTAGCTGATCCAACAGAAGCCGACACATCTGGAAAGGGGATACTGGATCCTGGCTTTCAGCCGGCATTTCAGGTGGTGCCACTAGACTGAAGGAATGAAAACAGTGTTAGTTATGGTCTGAAGTAGCATTGGTATTCACAACAATGACCACGTACAAACATCCACTTACATTAGGGACTTATTTAGACTCTTGTAGTAGTGAGACACAACACTTGACAACTGACATAAAGGACTTTCTCATTGATCACTATGACAGTAAAATGCTACAAACTGTTATTACTGCCTAAATGTACTACAATATTTTGTAGTGTGGGGTGTATCTGGGTATAGAGGGTCACACGGCTAGCACTGTCACCTCAGACTGTGGAATGAGGGCCACACAGCTAGCACTGTCGCCTCAGACTGTGGAGTGAGGGTCACAAGGCTAGCACTGTCACCTCAGACTGTGGAATGAGGGCCACACAGCTAGCACTGTCACCTCAGACTGTGGAATGAGGATCACAAGGCTAGCACTGTCACCTCAGACTGTGGAATGAGGGCCACACAGCTAGCACTGTCACCTCAGACTGTGGAATGAGGGCCACATGGTTAGCACTGTCACCTCAGACTGTGGAATGAGGGCTACACAGCTAGCACTGTCGCCTCAGACTGTGGAATGAGGGCTACACAGCTAGCACTGTCACCTCAGACTGTGGAATAAGGGCCACACGGCTAGCACTGTCGCCTCAGACTGTGGAATGAGGGTCACAAGGCTAGCACTGTCACCTAAGACTGTGGAATGAGGGCCACACAGCTAGCACTGTCGCCTCAGACTGTGGAATGAGGGTCACAAGGCTAGCACTGTCACCTCAGACTGTGGAATGAGGGCCACACAGCTAGCACTGTCGCCTCAGACTGTGGAATGAGGGCCACACGGCTAGCACTGTCACCTCAGACTGTGGAATGAGGGCCACAAGGCTAGCACTGTCACCTCAGACTGTGGAATGAGGGCCACACAGCTAGCACTGTCGCCTCAGACTATGGAATGAGGGCCACACAGCTAGCACTGTCGCCTCAGACTGTGGAATGAGGGCCACACAGAGATTGGGATTTTATTTTTGCTAGACTGAAAAACTCCACAACCTTACTGTAACTGAGAACTGGAACCTGTGTCTCTCACATGAGAGCCTGGCATTCTTTAACTCGTTCAGCCAGCCATTCCTCTTAACCACTATGATTTTTAAAACAGTATGTAAAAAATCTGGTAACAATATATGACTCAACCTTAAACCAAAAGTTACAACATAAGTAAGGGGAAAATAAATCTCAATGAAGAAAACAAGTAGGGACATGCAAAAAGTGATGCAGTGAAACCTTGTTTACATAAATTCCAGGGATAGAAAAATGAAGAGTCTGTGTTGAAAAATAACTGCTAATTGCTACAATACATAACTCAGTTCAGCAATGACAGGAATGTAGGTATGGCTGCACAACCTACAGCAGTACTGGTCTTCTTGTAATCAAGGTTTTTTTAATTGCGCAGTTTCTTATTTAAGATCAATATTGTCTCTCTGCAGTTACTTCTACCACTTTGTAGCCTTCTCATATTCTGGATCATAACATAATGAGGCAGTGAAGCCAATTCCCTTCCACAGTGTTATTTTTATCTAAACAATTCACTAAAAATTCTGAAAAAAAAATCTGGTGTCCATTCCATAAGTGTGGGTCAACCGCCAGGAGTTGTCACTTATCTGAGAAATTATCCGGCTAAAGGTTGGCACTGAATGCAGACTACTCTCTTTGCAAAGCAAGGGTCACATCCATTACACACAAAAATAAAAAAGGTCTGCAGAAGTCATCCCATCCGACCTGACTTCACTCAGCACCATCTACCACCAGATAATACATTTCAACCTGAATTCACTCCATACACCACCAGACAGTTAGACAAGCACCTAGTTATGCCTGAAGTTGTCTCTAATTATGATTAAACAAGCATGCTTTTAAAATAGAATATCTGAGGTGATGAAGATATACTTTGCCCAATTCATATCACATACACATTATATAGCAAAACCAAACAGATAAACAAAAAAGAAAGATTATTTCATTAAAATTCTGACAGTTTTTAACGAAAACTAGATTGCATAAATGTTTATATCAGATTAAAAGCAAAAACAAATTTTTTTTTTTTTTTTAATTCGTTAGGCAATACTTATCACTGAGGTTCTTCTTGTGTATTCTGAGCTCTTGAGGTTTACTGCTGCGGTTGTCACCCACCTCCAATCACCACTCTGAGCTCTTGGTGTTTACTGCTGCGGTTGTCACCTGCCTCCAGTCACCACTCTAACTGAGCTCTTGGGGTTTACTGCTGCAGTTGTCACCTGCCTCCAGTCACCACTCTGAGCTCTTGAGGTTTACTGCTGCGGTTGTCATCCACCTCCAGTCACCACTCTAACTGAACTCTTGA